GATACTGCTTGTGATGGCTTGGTTGCACGTCAGATGCAGCAAATCATGAATGATTTTGCGTCTTAGTGGCAGCTTGTTTTGTTTCTTTATTGGACTGGTGCAAGACACCGCATGGCTGTTGATTTGGCATCTTCTGCAGGGGATCACGCATTTTCCCCCTTAGGTGTGTAGAAAACATAGGAATTGTTGCGATTCTGGTGCATCCTCACAAGAAGCGAGCAATGTTTTTGAAAAACTTGAACGCGCAGAATGCAGTGTAGGCTCTTCTTGGCTTGGCTTGGGGATGTGAAAGGTAATCCGACGCGCCCTCCTCTGCAGTGTGGCTCAAGCGTGTGGTGCCGGTAGGTGATGGTGACTGATGGTTAGGCACTTTTTGTCCAAGCCCAACACCTGAGATGGTCATTTTCACAGCAGAGCTTGAGTTTCTTCCTTTTCTTCGGCACCTCACCCATGGCTCCCGAGAGGACGCGCCAGGAGACAGACGAGGAGAGCTGAAGCTTGGGGAGTACGCACCATCCGGGCTCTGTGGAAGGGTCCCCTTGTACTTCTGCATTTGAGGATCTAGCACTTCCTTTAAGCAGTATGCAAATCTCCGCAGCCTCATGGCAGCTCCAGTTGTGTTCCCCCCAGCCAAAATGCAGTGCAACTTCAGGAGGTCGGCAAGGAGGTGGAAAGAATCAGCGACAAGGCCGGCTCCCTCAAAACGCTCACACATGGACGGTAGGCCGTTTTGCGTCAGCTTCATACGCAACACACCAAAACTTGCTGCGTTTTGGGATGGCAAGTGGTGCAAGACATCTCCCATCCGCATGGTGGGCCGTGTGAGTTTTGAGTTGAATGGAAGCCTTGAGAAACTCAAAGGTTAGCATGTCTCTGTGTTTTGTTTGCGATGGGAAGGCCAGCGATGATGAAGATACACCTACACGGCTGCCACCGGCCCCTCGCCTGGCGAGACTGTTAATATCCACACTTGTGTAGCTGTTAGTGAACACTGCTCGTGACTGAAACGCAGCCTGAAGGAATTGACCGAGCATCCAACCCCTGATGGCAACGGACTCAGTTTCTGGCGTCCCTTGCCATGGATTCACGTCAAAGTCTAAACCCCAATATAACCCCAATATATACCCTATTATACTATATTTAATATAGTAGTCTGCATTTTCTTCTCCATTATCCCCATATTACTAGGTTTTTGTTGTTTTTCAGGCCTTGACATGGCCGAGTCAGTGATGGACCTGCCTTGGCAGCCCTCGGGGACCCCGAGCTCGGACCACGATCGAAGGACGCATCGATGCCTGAGAAGCTGTGATCCGGGGAATCTGACGCAAAGGGCTCACCAAAGGCGTTTCAATGGGGTTCTGGTTCGGTCTGAAGAGACGGCAAGTACTGATGTACGGCGGAAAAGACGGCCCATGCCGCCCCGGCGTTTAAAGTCAACCTTCCAAACTCTCCAGAGTTCCCAAAAGATCCCAAAAGTATGCTCCCGTTTCGCGAAACCACGAAGCTTAAGCTGGAATATAAATGCCCATGTAAACGAACGCTTGGCCCGGCATGTCATGCAATGTCAGAATCATGGGCGCTGCAGCATCCATCGGCGGCACGGCTGGTTTGATGCTTCTTGGCAGGGTTGACTTGGTAAGGAGTCTTCTTTGTCTCTGCGCTTGATCCTTCAAGATCCCCCTTATCCCAACCAGACTCCTCTTATTCCTGCATTCCCCGCGCGAGTAGTTCTCGAATTTTCAGTTGTATACCACCGAAGCGGGACAAGGGGCAGTTTACGGACCCTCGAAAAGCACCTCCAATTATGCTACAGCCCAACACTGCAACTAAACCACATAAACTGCAGACACCAAGCCTAGTTTCGATTCGATTTTCCATTCTCTTTTTGCATTAGTTTACATACCCCGAAATAGCCCAAAGCCGTAAACTAAAACCAAGAAACCCGGAAACCGCCCAGGCTTGCCAATCCAGTCTCAGGCCTTGTCCTAGGAACCGCAGCGATGAGCCCCGGCAGCAGCATCTTCCTGCAGTTCCTTCTTTGGGCGGTACGAGGGAATGTTGTTCTTGCGGTGATTCCTTCTGCGGCATTTCAGGGAATTTACGGGACTTGGTTTTGCTAGGAACTTCCCTTCCATTAATTAGATAAACTTGTTCAAGGGATATGGATGATATTGACAGAATCCTCGGACAACCGTGAATATGTTTCTGTAGATACGGGAAGTCTTGGCACGTGCATGATGCGCCTCATATGTCAAGAGTTACAGTATGTTGCAGATCTCAAGCAGTGCAAAGTGAAGGATTGCTGCGATAACTGATGGGGCTGCTTCTCTCTCGGTGTACGTCCTACTTTGTGCCCGCAACATGAGCTCCCCTGGAGATATCTTGAGGGTATACAAAATTCTCCATTCCCGAACGTGCATTTCCTTTCGTTTCCCCAATCTACTGTACTTGGGAGAATTCTGGTTTTTTGGGGCCCATGACTTGCAGAAAACATGCTCCCTATCTTTTGTTTGAAAAACTAACTATTGCACTTGGCGCTTGCAAAGGCTTTTTGCTTGAACCTGCCTGGCGAGGTGCCTATCATGTGGGAGCAGGGTTTTGAACAACTTCTAGGGTAAAGCCTTCTGCCTCCATCCTTCTTCATTCGGTGGAGATTCCTGAGGTATGCTACCTCTCGGGATGATACCGCTGGAGCAGTAGCTCGGAAGGCACTGCATTTCAGCGTTGCCTGTGGCCTGTAGTACCAGTAGGGTGTGAGGCGGGAAACTTGAGCATCATGCGCAGACAGCAGACGCAGTTAATAAGAGAGGCTGGTGCCGTGTACCTTCACCTGGCCGATTGGGCTGTCGATAGGCGCGCTCACTAAGCGTGCAGCTGTGGTATCCGGGATGCCTGATTACATTGACATTAGCAGTCGCATCTTTCCTGGGCAGGGGCCTTCAGGGCGTCCATCTGGCAGGCGGGAGCCCCTTTCCAAATTTGAAGACCTGCGCCATTCCAAGCTTCAGGTGCCCTGGCAGAGGAAGGTTGCCGCAAGCTGGTGCAGAAGAGCGCCAGCCTAGACTTGGACGCCTGCCACCAGGCCAGGAAGCTTGCTGCTGCCAAGCATCAGGTTACCAAAGCAGGTAAAGTTAAGAGCATGAGTGCGCATGCGTCGAGATTATCCTTTTTTCGGGGCAACATTTCTTTCGGCGTGCATGCTTGTCTATAGCAAGTAATGAGAAATTCCGCTCGCACACCTGCAACATCCCGCAACTCTGTGCAGGTTCCCGCGCCTGTGCGCAGGAAGCTGAAGAAATGGGCCCCTTGGGCAACAGTTGTTCATTCAGATCGGTTTTTCGATTTTCAGTTTGGGATAATCAAGGGGTCCTTCTCCGAAGGAACCGGGCTTGTGCATTCCTCAGGCCTTGCACTCCAAAAGTCCTACGTCATAGAGTTTATGCACGCAGGCTCATGCCAAATTTCGTCCTTCAAAAGCGTAAGTGGAAGTCCTTCAGATGCTACATGGGCTAGGAGAGTTGGGGGGAGGAGATGGCGGGGGGCTTTACTTAGGAAGCCTAATTCCCAGTGCCCCAAACCCTGGGTCCCTGAAGCCTTGCATCATCCCGAACCATACATCCCAGAGCCCCCCCAGAGGCCAAAACCCAAAACCTGAGCGTTGACCCATCATCCCCGGCTTCGCTAAGTCCGGGCTCGCGAGCCAGGCCTGGGGGTACGAAAGCCGTTGCCATTGAAGTAGCGCGCCACTTGATTATGCGGAGTCAGAATGTGCATGAGATCCTGCACTGAGTTCGTAGACTTACCATCTTCCGAGTGCGTTCGCGCGGAGTGGCAACTTTCCACACCGTTGTGGCTGCAGGCGATGTCGCGAGATATTCCCCGCCCACCTCCTGAGGAGGCTTGAACCCGGGGGGAGTTGATGTTTCAGGATGAAAAGCTCAGTTTCGACTGAATGTTAACCACTTCAGGCTGAACGGAGCTCAGCAAATTATCACGAACCCTCCCTAGCCATCTACTGTAAAAGGGGGTGGCGCCGTTGCCGTAGTGCCGCTGCAAACCGCAAATGCCACGCTGCTTCGATTCAAGTTAGTTAGCTTTGCTTTGCTTTTGGTGTTTGGTGCTGCTGCGACAGGCGGTGCTGTGCTATCGCTGCCGCAGAACTGCTACTGTGAACACCTGCGCCATCTGTACCACCTGCCAAGCACTCCCTGTTGTCACAGCAAGCCAAACAAGGGTTACCAATTGCCTGCGCAGGTCGTGCGGCTGCGGGCCAGGACTGTCAGAAGCATGCCTGGGGAAAGGGCAGTCGCTCAAGATCAGTAGATGAAGCAAGGATCGCACCAGACCGTGTGCCAGTGCTGTGCGAACCCTCGCGGCATGCGTCCCTTGGCTCATCGAGGCGTCTCTTCTTCTGCCATCATTCCGATCCTTACGCTTGGCAGTCCAAGGAACTTGCCGAAGATCAGCCAGCGCAAGTTCGCTGTGCCGGGCAGGTGCAGCTTCCTGCTGTTTCTGGCTATCTATGAGAGCCTGCAAGACTAGGATTCAACATTCATCTGGCGGAGGCAGCAAAGAAAGTACATAGAAGCCTACCCAGGTAGTCAGTGACCTTGCAAACTGCCAGCGTTGGGAATGGATTGGGCAGCCCAACATGTACTTTGCTCCATTCATTTGATCCTTTCCCTGCAGCATGCTCTGCGGAGAGTTCAAGTACATGGTTCACAAGCACGCCCCAGGGCCGCAACTAGCCAGAGGTCAGTGTCCCTGAAACCAGCAGTGGGGCCGAGCCCGCTTTCGTTGCCTGTGGCCTTCTGAGGTCATGCAAGCAATTGGCAAGCAGAGTGCAAACGCGGAGCAGACGCTCTACATTTTCGCTACCCGGCGGCAGACTCTGCGGCATGCCAGAGCGTTTGAAGCGTTTGTAGCAGACACCTTCCTCCTATCAGAGGTTGATGGTGTTATGCCGAAGAGCAGTGATCGAATGGGAGACCTCTACGAGCGTTGGAGCGCTGATGACGGTTTCTTGCACGTGAGGCCAGAGGAATGCACGCACCCGACTTGCGAAGATAAGCTTTGCCGCGGTTTTGTGCTTGCGTGTACTTGCGTGTGCTTGCCTGGGTGCCTATCACAGACTTCGCATGAGTACTTTGCATTTGCCACAGGTATTGTGCAGAAAACACTCTGGGCATGCAGCAGCGCCGTCATTCTGATTGATGCTCGGCGGCTTGCATCACCCAATGTAGCCACAAGAATGCACGAAGACGCATTTTTGTCGACCTTCAGGTTGAAAGAATTAGAGCTGGGGCGCCACCACCTCCTGGTAGTGTTCTTGCAACGTCTCCTCACGCCTTGAGTTTGAGCTAAGGATCGGTCTCCAGCGCACGTGCAGCGCAGAAATTTGAAAGCAGTTGGCTAATCCAACATGCGCATGGGGCTGTACAACTGATCGTGCCAACCTTCCGTACACACTGCGGGCCAGTGGGAATGTCAATTTTTAGCCTCTCGGAATCTCTTTCTACACAGCTTAAAGTGACGGCTAGGCTTGTCGAAATTGCTTGGATACGAGCGCAGCAGGATTTCTAAAGGGACTTATGGACTTCTGCAACTACTGATGCTGTGGTGATCTGTGGTGATTGAGATGATGATGTGAGGGAGGGAACGACGCACTGGGAGGAGTGAGACACGGACAGGGGCCGGACGTAGGAAAAGAAGCATGTCGATGACATTGGCCACTGCAAGTGCCAAGCACGACTGAGTACAGCAGCTTTTGGTTGGCCTTTTACTACAACTACAACTATAACTATGGAATATAAGTGTTTGCGGAGCTCTATTACGATAACCATTGCCAAGCCTATTATGATAGCCGTTGCTACTATTGCTATAGCTTGAACTATTATGGACTGAAGGTGTGTATAACTATTGCCAGAACCACAACTACAACTATAAATCTAACTGTTACTTTTATGATATCTCCACTGCTACTAATTCTTCATTAATCCTCATTACAAATTGCTAATTTCTTTTGACAGCAAAGACACCCCACCGTTGGATCAGCCGGCAGAGATGACTCTTGGAGAAAGAGCAGTCGCATACCCTCCCTCCAGTCCCTAATTCCCTATGCTCCTTGAGTCTAAAGTTCAGACAGCTCTAGGTTGCGCGGTTTAGGATTTAGGGTTTAGGGTTTCCCCTATCCTCACGAGCAGACCCCCGAAGCCTCCTGACAGTTCCGGCGAAGCTGCTCTCTTCGGGCGCCAAGCTTACGCATTGTACATAAGTTGACCATAACCCATGTGTGCAATCAGATAGGCTACGTAGCCAGTAGCTGTTGGAGTCGGGTCCCAGTGAGAACTGTAGCACATGGGTAGTGCCCGGACTCACGGGGCAAATTGCTCCAAGGAGGCTGGCAAAACTTGTCGAGCATCTTGCGCATTGATCAGCTGCCTATGAAGAATCATGAGGCGTTCACGTATCATTGTCTGCTTGTATGCAAGGACAAGAAAGTGGCAGGCATGATTATGCTGCCAGTACAGACTGGGACTACTGCAGTACTGCTTGCAGTGACAATAGCTGTTGGTAGCATGAGAAGCAGCGGTGGTGGCGTTGGCGGCGGCGAGGGTCGTGGTAGTGGCGGCGGTGAGCGAAGCGGTCTTCGTCCTCGTCGCTGAATTCTCTCTTGCAGTTGGTGTTGCTGTTGTAGCACCAGCGGCGGCAGCAGCAGCAGCAGCAGCAGCAATGCAATACCCTTCCTCTGCCAGAGTATCATCCGTTTGTTCATCGTCAGTACAAAAAGACACAACCAAACACCATATAGTGCCAATACGCCTCTCAGAATTAGCATGTCAAGTAGCAACCCTCCAAAATTGGGAAGCACCCAATGCAAGGCCCAGGAGGGGGCCAGGAAGCCAGAAATTTGCCAACCTCCTGAGCTGCTTTCGATGGCACCGCATGAGTCCAGGATTTAATTCAGTGCAGGGCCTCGTCAGCGCACGTCTTCCGAGCTCTAGGCCAGTAAGGTTAATGAAGGAAGTTTGGTACCACTTGGGATACCTAAATTGCCGTACAGTTCATTATCTGGGGCTTTGTTGCCATGCAAGACGTCCTGAGGTGATGGGAAAGCAGCGTTGCGTGTAGACAAAAGTTAGCAAGCATTAGGTTCCGTTGCTGTCGTTTCGCTGCAACGTTTCTGATGCCATGGCATACTACTATGAACACTGTTTCACTGTAGGATTGGAAGCAAAATCTCGCCAGCTACCCGGACTAATGCTGCGCTTTGTGAGGGCATTGCACAGGGAAACCCTCAGAGTGAATTTACTTCGGGCTTGAAGCGGAGGGACGCGTTTGCAGATCTCAGATGGGCTGTGATTTAATTACCGGAAAAAGGTTATATGTGTTCTATTTATAGCATCCACACCAGTTAAAGCATCACTGCTTAGATGATGTGTGCTGGCCGTTGGAAGGAAGATTCAGAGACCAGATCCTGGGCGTCTGCAAGCGCCATGAGCTTCTCGCACTTCACCTGAATTACTGACATTAGGAACAAAACAGACCTATGTCTTGCAGCGAAGTTCTTAAAAGATATGCATGAGCTTATGGGCAGGGTGCAGCTGGAAGGTCATGAAGCAGTGCAGCACAGCCCAAGACTGGTTCCCTTCAGAAAAGGCGCAAACAAGGCTAGCGTCCACATGGGTTGATGGCAGAGGGAGTTGACATCTTGCGTAGCGCTGTGGGGAACACGTCGACCTGCTGCGAAAGTCATCCCGTTAAAGTCCTTGCGTGGACGTAGCTCAGAAACGCAGCTGTGCAGAGAAAGGGCAGAGCCCTGCGACTTGCGGATACGTTCTCCCAACACTGCCGGAGAAGTTGAGCAAGCGGATGACACGCGGTGCACACTTTGTAGCATATTCTCCAGTGCTGGGACTGGACGTCTGCTCGGCGTTATATGACACCAAATGAGCAGCAGCCTGATAGATAGTCTGAGGCCAGGGCTCATATGCTGCAGAGGTGTCGACGCGCATTCTGGGTGATTTGGACAGGGAATGCCTGTTGCAGCATGATTCTGCAGTATTAATTTTGTGTCCTGCCTTCCGTTCTTCTTTTCGGACAAACTGGTGCTGTGTAGGCTCCCTGCTGAATTCTACCCAGAGTCTGCGCGCAATCATGACTGTACAGTGGCTATATGCGCAGAAAAAGCGATGAGAGTTGTTTTGGTTTGAGCTGTATGGTAAGGCGTGGATGCCGGGAGGAGGGTCTACTGAGCATTCCAGCTTGCATAGGTGCAAGCAGAATCCCCAACCAGACTCCAACAAAATCTCAACAAGGCAAACTTCCTCTAAATTAACTCGACTCGTCTGTCCATCAAACCGCGGGAGTATTGAGGGATCCATCTTTGGATCCGCTCCCCTAAGCTCCTCTTACCAGGCCGACAAGCTGACGTTGGACCCTGGAATCAGGACCTTAGAGGGCGCAGGGTTGCTGCACTGAACTTGTAGAGACCCACTGCTGTTGCTTTCGGGGCCGCTTTGGGCCGGCCCCTCTGAAATGGAACTGCAAAAGTGTTTGTTGGCAGAGCGCAGGACACTCAATTCTGCACTGGCGGCATGTGGGACAGGCCTGCTGCGCTTTGACAACCAACCTCCCAGCACGCGGCTCCTCAGACCCCCCCAAGGAATCGAAGAACTGAGCCCTCCAAAATGTACCAAATTTAGTGGGATCAGTGCTGACCGCGATTTCTGACTTTGAATCTGATGCTCAGCTCGAACATTAAGGGTCCGTTCCGGATGCTTGCTGAGGCAATGAGTGGCGCTGGGCGCTACACCTCTTTGACCTGGTGCCATTGCGTAAACATCAGCATTTTTTTTTTGTGACTGCCGGAATAGCCAGAATTCTGTGCAGCAATATGGACCACAATGATTGTACCAGTTACTAGTTAGTGTGAAGCCACTGGTTTGCATGGCCTACACCTCAAACAACAACCGTAGCGCTGGCAAACGTGCAGGTAGCAGCCAACTCGAGAGCTGTAATCAGAAACCACTCCAGTATTGACAGTCACGCGCAGAAGCCGGTGAGCCCAATCAACCCATCAACCGTGCGTGTAAAAGTACTTTGCAGGTCTCAGATCTGCTTTTGTTGTAGTATGACATGACATGTATATTCTCCGTCGTGACCCGACTTCGTCATGGGCTCAACTCTTTTCTATCTGAAGTTGTCCACGGCCTGAAGTCATTGCAGAGGCCTGCGGAGGAGTGCATGGATCGCCGAATGCCTGCCGCTCGGAACTTCTGAATTCATGCTCTCAGCAATGGGATGTGTTTATTCATATCGAATCCAGATTGTCTGGCGCCTTTGGAAAGCCATGGTAGCTGTGGGGCTAGAGAAGGGCACATCAGATCCCTCTCTTGCCAAGGTTGTTACCTACAACTCGGCGATTTCAGCAGTCACAAGAGCAGATCACTGGAGGCTCGGTCCATTTGCAACTAAAAAACATATCTACGTTCGGGGTCCCCAGAACGCAGATCCAACAATTTTTGGCCGGATGTTGGTGACCCTACCTCCGATGCATGGCAGTAACTGGCAGTCTGATGGGTGACGTGAGCTTCTTGGCGTGGCAAGCATGAAATTGCCACCACACACTCTGCTGTAGTGCTGACAGGATTTGGATTTGAGGGACGCAGCAAAGACAAAGATAGAAGAGAACATAGCAGGGCAATATTACGCACTCCTAGCTTTAACTTGAAATTGCTACAGGATTTTCTGAAGTCAGGGGGCCGCTGCTCTATACTTCCGCAGTGTATTTAGGTAGTTGCTTATCCGTCTTTAGTCGTATTGGTGCCTTGACAATCACGACGCATGCCCCTGTTATGCTGATTACCTTTAGCGCGACGTGCGAGTACCACTGATTTTGGGAAAGCCCCATGTGAGGCATTTCCTTTACTCTGCCAATGTCAGCGTGACACCAAAACAGAAACGCTGGTATTTGAGGAGAGGTTGCTGTTTTAACAAAGTAGCCCATGCCTCCAGGATTGGCCTTCAACTTTTCGAGCTGCTGGCCAACAATGGCTTGGAGGTGCTGCAGTTTCGATACATGTGGATACATGTGGGATGAATCATGTGGATGCCACAAGAAATCGACTGTCCCAAAGCCCAAAGTTTAATCCCGTTTTGGGTTGGGCCCTATCTGCCACCAAGGTTTCTGCAACCCTGGTTGTGTCTATATT